GATTTGAATTTGTGCAGACAGGTGAAAGACTTCTGGAACTTTCCAATGACACAGCGTTTACCATTGTATGCTGAATCTTTCAAACAGGCTTCTGAACTTGATTTCAAGCCCCAAGTGATAAGGGAGTAATAGAGCAGGTTGCATATGATTAAATAATATGTGTTTCTTATAAAATAAATACACTTTTTTAATAAAAACCGATACTGTACTTCTTTTTAGGGAGAATGATCTTCTTTCTCGTATACACAGCTTACGCGATTATAGCCGCGTTAGCAACAGGGCGAAAGTCGTTTTTTTTTTCACAATTCAGCGCCAATTCGAGATACCGAGTGCAGCCAGGTTCTTCTCCACCTGATCATTTCAACAGTGTGGAGGTTTTCCTCTTTATTTGCTTCCCCCGGAGGCTACTATGTTCAATATTTTCAAACCTGGAGGGTTTTCATCCATACGGACGACAATCTAGCTAGCGTAAACGCTGTCTCTTTCGCTAAACTATGTCAATCTCATTGTATAATTCATAAAGCTCATCGAATGCGATGGCGATTTGCCGATGGGCAAAGAACCATAACTCTTCCGCAGACCCTTTCTCTTGAACGAGAATAAGACCCTTCTTAGGACGGGAATAATGAGTGATTTATAGAGTTTGGTCTTTATTCCGCGAAATGCCTACTCAGTCTGATGCAATAGAGGAGTTTGACTTGGAGTGTATCCTGAATGGAAAGAAGATATGATACCCATAAGACTAGGTGAGGAGTATTTGGCAGTACTAAAACGACACAGTAACTGTCTAATAAAGGACCTGTATAATGGACTTTACTTAGCCATCATGTCTCTCAAGGCTTTCACTTTTGACAGACACATTTCATTTCTGATTCATTTCATTTCAGAGCAATATAAAGAACCTACTTTGCAGACAATAAAATCATTTACCTGTACCAATTTTATTTTGCAATATACTCGTATATTATTTTATTGTAAATATTACATCGATTTATCTATATATCTAACGCATAGTAACCTTCTAAACGTTTGGCCTCACGTATACCGGTTTCTACTGCACCATGCACTGTACCGAAATAGCAATCGTGTGTAGCTTCGCCAGCGAACTGTACTACCGGCTTAACGGCTAGAGCGCCTTTAAGAGGATTGAGCACGCGATAGGTTGGGGCCGGCCCCAGCATAGTTATTGGTTGTGCCAACTCTGCCGGCGATGTGGACAACTCTTCTGTTTTGAGTGAACGAAATGAAAATGAACCATTGAAATTTATGTTGGTATCCCATGTGCTTCTAGCCAAATCTACAACATTACTTATTTTCCATTGGGGTAGAAAACGTCTCAGCAAGTATAAACAACCGTCAATCACATCAAAATTTGTCATTGTTTCAACGAGTGGTATATTTGAGCCGACCAACCAACCGACCAGTGTGCATGGCTGCCTAGGTACTCTATAGAAGCCGTAAATATCTTCCAACCATGCGCGTTGGCTGCCACGTATCTCAACAGCGTCTTCTTCACGCCAAAGCATTGCCAAACCAGTCCATTGACTACTCCAAAACGGTGCGGGAAATTCGAGATATATTTTCATAATACTTCCATAACCGAGTCCTTCGATGGCATTTAGCTTCGATATTGGCAATTCAGGGGTGAACATTTGATTTACTCTGCTTTTCAGTACACCCAATGAAACAGTCACTATAACATGATCAACGAGGAAGATGGCACTTGTGTTCTCACAAGTCACCTCAACTTTGAAGTCATGTCGTTTCCATATGATCTCTTTCACGCGTATACCGAATAGAATTTTGTCTTCGAGTATGCCCAAATCATTGCCAAGCTCATCGGCTCCCATTAGTGTGCGTAGAAAGTGAAGAAAACCTTCTTCAAAATGCAATAAGTAATCGCCGTCGCAGGTTTTATAACTTTGAAAACCCCGACCAGATATTTCATCAAGTCCCGCTGACGTTTCCGATCGTTCAATTTTCGCGAAATTCTCGAAAAACTCTTTTGCGATTACTTCATCGATGTTCTTATACTCATCACGGTGTAATATTTTAAAGAAATTCCTGAAAAGATATTCACCGAGTGTACCTTCAAATGTCGGTAATTCCTCCTCACGTTTGGCAAATATTTGTGCCAATATAGTTTTCAATTGTTGCACGACATTATTCGGCACGACCTCGCCATCGGACCGTATACAGTCGAAGTTCGTATAGATATAACTTGAGGATCGTAGCATATTTTTACCATCAACCATTTGGAAGACAATATTACCTTTTTCACCATGGCACCAATGTGCACCCATTTCAACAATATTATGACTAAATTGTTTTGTATAAATCCGTCCACCGATCCGATTCTCCGCCTCAATTATGGTCACACACTTGAAACCCTTTTTCAACAACGACACCGCACAGGCGATACCGGCTGCACCGGCGCCGACAATAAGAAACTTGGGTTCCCCCGCGATGTTCTGTGATCCTTGCTTGAAACTAGTTGAATGCACAAAGGACTCACTACTGACGGACGTTAAACTGTCGTCTAAACTGGAACCACTCTTCTGTGCCGGTAATAAACACATTTCAATTGCAAATCCAAATAAAATAAAACACAAAATAGAATTTTTCATTCACAAATTTATGAATTTGTCTAAGAAAATATTGAAAACATTTCAAAATATCAAAACAAATCTTAAAATGTAGAATGTCATGTAAATTTAAAGTATATTTGAGCATGCAAAGAGTGGAATACTCTAAATTCAAAAAATCGATTAGAAAATCTTAAGCCTTTTCATACCGAAACCGTTCGAGTATCTAAGATTATCAACAATTTTCTTCTTAATTAATATCGAGGAAACAAATACACATCATCAGAGTTCAAAGTTCTAAAAATAACCCTGGTCGTTCCAACACCGGGATTTATAAAGCGAAGCGAAATACTAAATGATGACTCTTCATTTCCATCACACGGTTGTGGGTTCTGTATTTTTGGTATAATCTCCCTCTTTTTTAGTGATTTTTACTATCATTTGCTGGCAATTGTTCAGAGTTAGGCCTCATCTGAGGAGATGATTTATCGATGAAAACAAATTTTTCAAAAACGTGAATTTCAATAATAAGCTTAGAGAATTTCCAAGTCCAATATGGCGTTTTACCAAAGTGAAACATGAAATCGGAAACCTTATTGAATACATTGACGAAATGTTTCACAAATTCATAAACAAACATGGCCGCCACGAGCTGACAAAGTCAATTCATAACTAGTCTCTTAAGTCTAGATGAGTCGATCTGAAATTTTACGCACATCCTTATCTTCTCAAAAAGGTACTATTTGTTGGAACCGCTATAAGCACTATCGTAACCAATAGCTGCCATACATCTGTCTGTAAAAATCTCAAGTATTTTTATATTTTACAAAGATTTCAGCACTAAATTCGGCATAGATACCTAAAGTAACGCTCCGAATATATTTTATGCCAACGTAATTTTCAATCCTCGAAACAGCTGTTAAAGGATTACATAAGCATTTTTCAAAAAAAAATTTCTTATATAAAAAATTAATTATTTTATTAGCATTTTTTATTGTTACAAGCATACACTATTAACAAAGATATTCTGAAATTTACGGTAAAAAATATTTTAACATCGTCCATTGCGACGCCATTTCCGGTGATCACTCGAAAAATGATGCGCCCGCGTTGGCAGGATAACTCCTTACAGAATCAGCTAAAGTGAAAAAATATGTGTTTTAGTTAAAATCTTAAGTTAGAAATTGGACGAAGGAAAAAAACTGAAAATTGGATTTTTGGCAGACATTTTCAGACAATTTCTGTGAAAATTGCGCATTTTTTTTTTTTTTTTTTTTTTTTTAAATTTTTTTTTTTTTTTTTTTTTTTTTTTTTTTTTGTATTCGGTCAATTGATCGTATGTTTCCAGGTCGTAAGCATAAAGCCAAGATTCATCGCCGGTATTAAACGTTTATTGACATCCTGGTAGTCGAAAGGCATTGTCTGACAAACGTTAACGCGACGCTATCGTGCTTTCACTGGTGATGGCAGTCCTGCACGTGATTCGTCGTCAACGTATTCTCAACCCTCTTTGAATAATTTTTACCAATCAAAAACACTTGCTCAAGTAATTGCATGAGCGTGAATTATTGCCTGAGCCAATAGAGCAAACTCCGAAGAAATTGTTTAGATGAGACCACTGCAGCAAAGAGCTGCCTTACAAACTATCTAATTAGGGTTCTTGTAAGAAAACTTGTATTTTGGCAATAGGTATTAAGCTTAGGTGCAACCGAAGTTAAGATTTTTTCTTGTTGAATTTTTAAGCGGCATTGCTGACTGTTTGGAAATTTGAAAACAATATTGGTATTAATTTGTCAGCAAATATTTGTGTTTTATTAGTTTCATAAAATGTAGGCTAAATCTGTAGAACTTTTCTGAGCAGAAGTATACGCTGCTGATAAAAATAAATTTGGAATTTAATTCCGCGCGATAATTCTCCAGTATAATATACACAGGAGCTAATTTTACTTATTCTAAGTTTGCTCATTAAGGTTTGTACAATATTATATTGTTATGCATTAAAAAGTTACAATAGTTTGCAAACATTACAATTTTCAGTAGTTAAAATTAATATGGATTGTTTAACAATCAAGCTCAATATTGTTCCATTAAAATTTATTACGTGACTTTATATCAATATATAAAAGTATATCAACCATTGTTTGAGTTTTAATTCTGTCTCTTATACACATCTAGATGTGTATAAGAGACAGGCCCTGCACTTTCTTCTTTTATTTTATATATATTTTTTTTATTAATAAATAAAATACAGTTACCAATGGAGTACGCGAGACTTTGAAATGGGTGCACCCTTAGGGCTGTCTCTTATACACATCTAGATGTGTATAAGAGACAGGAATTTTTTATTTTAAATTAATATTTATTATTATTATTTCATTAAATATTTATATATATATTTTTTTTATTAATCTTGTAAATTGCATGGCAACCATTTGAATTTTAATAACCGAATACGAAATGAAAAATAATAAAATCGAACAAAAGGCAATAAATATGCAACGCCCAGAGATCACAACAGGAACGCCTGCGGGTATGCTAAATGTAAGCACAACGCCTCACAAAGCAATCTTAAACAATTCTTTAAGTGATTTTATAGCTTTCCGAGCGTTGCATCATCGCTACCACTACTAATTTTTACAAAGAAATAAAGATATTTTAACTTTGGAAATTGAGCGCTGACTTTACTGTTAAAAATAGTTATAGTTATATAATTACCGACTGATTTATTTTAGTTTTCTTAGTTGAATGGAAGTTAAGCAGGTAGTGTCTTTAATAGAATACAATTCTCTGTATATTTACTTGAGGATAGTACTGGAAATTTGTCGATTTATGTCTTTCAATATGCATATTCGGGACTCTGAATGCCTGCAACAGTGGCTAACGTGAGACGAAATTATTCAACACGTGTCACTGCTAGCATCCAAAGTCCTAAAACTGTTATAACTGTGCTCTTGGTTCTTTTCTGCCATTTCTTGGCATACCGTAGAAATCCGCCAAGCGCTTCGCCTCGCGCCAACCCGCCTCCACAGCGCCATGCACGGTGGAGTAGTAGTGATCACTGGTCGCTTCGCCGGCGAATTGCACGATCGGTTTATCACAACGTGTTTGTGGATAGAGTGGATTCGCATTCGACTCGCCGCCGTTACTTAGTGGCGGACTCGTGACGACCGTGAGCGGTTGCGCCAATTCGCGTGCGCTGGTGCCGATCTCTTCGGTGTTCATGGAACGAAATGAGTAAGAGCCACGAAAGTTGGCATTCGTATACCAGGCTGAAGTTCTAAAGCTACATGGGTTGGGTATATCCCATTGCAAGAATTTGCGGAAGAGATACATGCAACCATCAAGCACTTCATCTTCAGGTAATGTCTCCATGTGACGTCCGTTGGCACCAATAATCCAACCGCTTAAAATTTTTGGCTGATAGCTAACACAGTAAAAACCGAACACATCCTCTAGCCAAGCGCGTGAAGTACCACGTATTTCGTTGATGTCTTCCTCGCGCCACAGCATTGTAAAACCAGTCCAGTCGTCAGGCCAAAACTTTTTGGGGAATTCCACAAATATCTTATTTACCGTGCCGAAAGCCAATCCATCGATGGCACGTTGCTTCTCCACAGGCAATTTCGGTTCGAAAAGTGTCATTTGTTGTTCCTTGAGTACACCCAGCGATGCTGTGAGTATCACGTGATCAGCAATAATCTCCTCACCATCGGCACACTTCACATCCACACCGTAATCATTGCGGCGCCAGTGAATTTGTGTCACACGTTTGCCCAACAATACACGCTTCTCCAGTACGCCCAATTCATTGTCCAACTCACGCGCTTTTGTCATCAAACGTAAGAATTCAATGAATCCCTTATCCTTCCAGTTGAGTAGTATGTCGCCCTCACATTCCCAATATTCCAAATAGCCACGACCGGATACCTCGTCTAACGTGTCCGAGGCCTCTACTGAGTTCTCGAATTTTTGATAATTTTCGAAGAATTCTTTAGCTATCGCCATATCGATGTCGGAATTTTCAGGTCTACGCAAAGCCTCGTAGAATTTATTTGTTAAATAGCTACCCAATGAACCGTTGCAGTTACGCAGCTCCATTTGTCGCGTCACTAAGCTGTCATTGACGATATCCTTCAGCCGTTGACTCACACTTTCGGGCACAACCTCTCGATTAGAGCGTATACACTGGTAATTTTCATAGACGTCACCCGTCGATTCGAGCAAATTATGTTTGTTGGCCAGCTCAAAGATAATATTGTCTTTTTCACCGTGGCACCACTGTGCGCCCAAGTCTATGACATTTTCGCCGAACGGTATAGTATGCACACGCCCGCCAATACGAGGCTCGGCCTCCAGTAGTAGTACATTTTGAAAACCATAGTCGAGCAGTCGTACAGCACAGGAAATGCCAGAGACGCCTGCGCCTATGATAACAATTCTCGGACCCGTACTACTCGTCATTACCTAACTGTGAGAGGGTGCTCTTCGGATGTTCGCAATTAGGAAGTAACGTTAAATTATCTGAAATGAAATAAGATTTGGAAAATAAGTCATTTAGAGTTTGTAAAAAACACTCATCGGGTAATTAAAATTAATTTAATAATTATTTTATTTATATTTTTTCTTAAGCCTAGAGAGAAATACCGCTTGAATAAAAGTTGGTCGATAATTTCCATCAAAAATATGTGATGATATGTAGGTAAGGCCTTTAGGAAGCCAATTCTGATGCCACCTAGGCTAATATTTCCTAACTCTATGGATTCCTCTGAATCATCCGTGCTTCTATTGAAGTTATTTTTGCAACCTCTGAAACGTCATTCAGAAACCCGTCCAAACCCCACCACCTGTTGTTTACATGTGAAAAATAGTCGCCCGATTCGTATGGATTTTGTAGAACCCCCAGAGGTGATCTAGTGACTGATACCTAAGGCACACTGAAATTAGGGAACACTTCTCCAGCATGCTAAATGGCACTGGAAGCATAACACCAGAATATGGTGAACCCGATAGGGCAGCGAAGAACTGATAAATTTAAGTGTGTTCTGAAAAATCCACAAATAGGAAGACCCTACAATCTGTGCCAACTATCGTGGGATAGTCTACAAGAGTGTACAACTGCTTTAGTTCTGCGTTCTCCATACTGGATAAAGAAGCGAAACAAATGGGTCTGGTGGGGAGCGAGGCAAGACGAAATATCTTCTGTCATCAAATAAACTGATGCCAGTCATAACTTTGTAGTCGTGGATAATTTCATCTATCTTGGAACCTGCTATATGGGACAGAGTCATGGACGATGATAATTAATATCTGATGCGTCGGCGTTACCAGTTTTCGAGAGAAAGTTTCTGATACAGCTCAGGGAATTAGGAGACAGTGACTTCGCTGACTAGGTCCTGTAGTCCGAATCGATGAAAACACTTCAGCTCTGAGAGTATTCGAAAACTTCCACTCCGTTCGAAAGACCAGGTGGAGAAAGACCTGGCTAAACTTGGAATCTCCAATTGGCGCCAAACAGCGAAAAGTAAAAACGAGTGGCCTGCTTTTGTAAGTTCGGCTATAACCGCGTAAACGGTGTCTACGCCAATAAAGGAGAAGGTGGAAGCAAGATACGTATATTTCCATCTGATAATAAGAATAAATCCAAAACCGCTCGGCGGAGGTTACAATTAAGATTTCGTACTTGGAGAACCTCTCTTATATGGGTATCCACCAATTTTCCAGTGTACGGAGCGCAAAAATATTCACTTTTTTACCCACCCTAGTGTGCATATGTATGGTCAATATAGGGTTTACACTCTAAACACGTGACAAAGGCTCGCCAAAGTCTAAAAAAAAATTAATTTTTATATACTTTTCGTTAATATAATCATTTATAGGCTAATTATTTGTATTAATTCAATAAAAATCGTATTTTCATACTTAACAATAACAACAAATAGAGCTTAATACAATTTAGCAAGTCTTCAATAACCAGCTTAACACCTTCTGAGGTAACTTTATACAACTTTCATTGTTTTAAGTACCCAAAGCCGGCTTACATTAAGTGGCGCTATTGCTCAAGGAAATCGTACAATTTCATTCATTCACTCGTGAACTCGTATGTATGTACATTCACCATTTATACACACATAAAAATATACTTACATACATATGTCACCGACACTACACGCCCACTCATTATGCCGTCGTCTGCAAACAATTAGAAATTGTGCATTTTTCCACTTATTGCAGACTTTTTTGTTGCGTTTCGTTTCACTGAATGCTTAATTTTTCACATTATGCACACAAGTAACAAAAACACCAAACAACACACAAAGCTTTGCTGCATTCCTATGGAAAAAAACACAACTAAAGAGTTTCTATGCGAATTTTCCAACAAAGCAGCTAACGATCCACTCACATACATATGTACATACAAATATATGTATCTGTAAATGTTGATGTGTGAAAATTGTGGAAATGCATGCCGAGCCCACTTTTGTAGCTCATAAAGTGCAAATGCAAATGTTATAATACAAGGTAATGGGCAGACAGAGGTGCCAGTAACCACACGCAACATGCAACGTATCAAGTGGCGTAAATAATTACAAACCCCTGCAGGAATATCGAGAGCAGTTGGCAAATAAAAAAAAAACAATCATGAATAAAAAAAGAGATGACAGCACAGTCGAGGATAAAATGAAACATTTTTCTTTTATGATAGCATAATGAAATAAGAACATCTCACAATTTAATACAATCTGGGGTCTAGCGATCGAACTATTACCTAATAACTTACGAGAGATTTTTCGTCATTCTGTTAATTATTTTTGTGAAATATTGGATCTGTTTCTCTGTATGTACAAAACGTTCGTACTTTGCTATAAATTTTTATTTAAGTATATCAAGATCGCATTTTTTAATTTGTTCCGAAAAACCAAAAAGTCTTAAAAACACCATCACCTGTGAAAGAAAAAAGGGTATTTCGAAGCTTGGTATAGTAGCTACTAAATGTAATTATATATAGACATTTGATATATTTTTTTTTATACACTCGAAAATTTTCAACAAAACTTGTCATTAACTCCGAATTACCTTTGCCTCAGTTTAACTTGAAACTTGGTCGGCAAAAATTCTTCTTAGCTGTATCCTCTGCGCGTGCGTGAACTGGGCAATGGGGGTGTCGATTCAAGTTGGCTTTGGCTCTAGCAGAGTCATTATATTGCTGTCAGGCGGCACCTGAAGTCGTGAGGTATTTTCCCAATCATCCCCTTATGATGAACTGCTTTGTATGTATCCTCAGAGATAAGTGAATGGATAATACCAAGGGCATTGCTAATGAGGTACCTTGCCGTAGGTAAAAAACGTTAGGAGTAGAGACCCCTGAGTCACAAAACTCAATATGGGAGTTAACAAATGGGAGTTAACAAAGTGAGATATCAGTCCAAGTGTCGGTGAGAGAGGAAGCCGCTACCACTGGCAGGCACAACGATCCTATAAGTTGTATCGATAGCGAGCACATCTCCACTACAACCAGAGCAGGAAATCCGCCTACCGGAAGCCAATAGAAAGAGTTCAAAGGCTCGCTGCGCTGTGCATAACGGGAGCTTTAAGAACAATTCCAATGACGGCTCTTTAACATGTGCTAAACCTACCACCTAAAGATCTCTTCCGTGAAAACCAACTGGGAAAGCAGGTTCAAAGAAGTTAGCTGCGCGAAATACTCTAAACATTTATACAGAGGGCTCGAAAAATGGAGGACAGATTTGATACGGCGATCTAATGTCCATAGTTAGGCAAAAAGCAGCCTTTTAAGTTACCGTCCCATTGCAGTATATTTCAAGCTGAGATCTTTGCTATTGCGGATATGATCTCAAATGTATGACATCTACGTAAACAGGGAAGCAGCACTCAATGTAGTCTCCTCGTATCGCACATCGGCCAAAATTGTCTTGGGAAGCAGGGCAAGAACTTCACTTCTTCTGGGTGCCAGGTCACAAAGACAACGGGGGCAATGAGATAATGGACGATATTCCACGAACGGTGTACGGCTAACGATAGATCGGAGGTACACGCCCGCAGAATGGGGCTAACAGAAGACTACAAGAAATGCTTATAGCAGGGCATAAGGGAAACAATGGAGTCTCTCTTGGGCACTTGTTCTCTGTTGGCAAGACTACGCTGTAAGTATCTGGGGTCCCCGCATTATAATACACTGGAGGATATATCAATGATGAGGCCGTAGAGTTTGTTAAAATTCGCGTCAAGTAGGCATAATAAAGGTTCATAGATCTGGTAACTGCTGCCGCAAAAGACCAACAACACTGGTCTCTGCGTATTTCATTGTCCTACCAAACTAACCTAACCTAACTTGAAATTTTGAGAGTATACCATTTTATGGTACACATTTTCAGTGTAAGGAGACGGCATCCTGTTCTTTTGGTTCTACTAAAATTACAAATTAGCTGCCTGTGAAGAAGACAACCTCTTATTTGCATAAGATATATAAGTTTCTGTATGGGGAAAATTTTTAACTCAATTTTCAGAAGAATATACCCTATTCGGTAGGATATAAATGAATATTCTTGTAGTAGCTTACTAATCCACGAAATTTATTAGTAAATTCTATTATTTATCGGTAACTGATTCTTGGGTGGTCTCAGAACAGTGAACAATCAAAAATGTTTGAACACCTCATATAGTTATTACAGGTACCATCAACTTAAGTATAAAGAGCTCGTTTTCTCTACAGGGTACATTCGTGAATGGAAACGGAAGGTATGTTTATGCTTATTTCAATAAGAGCTACAATGACGCCTGAGTATATGAAAAGTATGTTATTTTGTTCGGAATTGAACGTTGGTGATTTAATTGTGTATATGTTGAGCAGAGAACTTGTAGACATTTGTAGGTATGTAAAAACAGCCCCGTTGTTTATAAACAAACTTGACATTAAATAAACTGTCTGTTGAAAAATATCAGATAAAGGTGCATACACACTTGTACATACTAGTATATAGAAAACATAAATATTTAAAGAAGTGACACCTAAAATGGGATCGGGCCGAATGTTTGATATTCTCGAAGTTTACAAAAACAAAAAATAATCGGATTCATTTGCAATATCAGTCTAGCTTTAGGATAGGTACTACTTGCTACTTTAGCATGAAGGACGCTACAGTGTTCTAGTAATCTGAGAGAAAAGTTAGCTTAGAGCTCCCAACTTAAACTGCGATCCACTCGTGGAAAAGCTCACTATGCCACTTCGCCAGCGACTCGGCCACAACCTAAAGAAGCTACTAGTAGTAGTAGGCTACGCGATGCAGTAACCTATGCTCAGCCATGTACCTCAAGAGAGGATATGTTTTGATGGGATTAGTACGATCAACATACATTCAATATTGCATGGACATTTGACTCGAAAAAAAATTATTTCCATGTCATCGTGACAGGTGATAAATCGTGGATTTATGCGTATGATTGCAAAAATAAACAGCAGTCGACTGTATTAGTATCTCGAGATGAGAATCCAACTAAAGTTGTTCGCGTACGAAGCATTTCCAAGAAAATGTTTATCTGTTATTTTGAAACAACTTAATACATCGCAACTATAAGACAACAACATTGTGTAGCAGTAAATTCTGAGTGGTGCACAATCATTTGCTTGCCAGTTGTCTTTCTAAAAATCAGGAAAACCAAGCACCGAAGACGGATCTCTCTTCACGACACAGTGCGAGCTCTTATATGTACATCGCCCGAATCAACCGCATTTTTGAGCACTCAAAATATCGATTTCAAGAATAATCCACCGTATACTCTTGTTTTAGCAGCGAATGGCTTCTATTTATTCCCGTACGTAAAATATAAAATAAGAGGTCAACGTAATTCCATAACTGAAGAGGAGGCTGATCCGTTCAGAACGCATGTTTTGGATATACCTCAATCAGAGTGGAAAAGTGCTTTCAAAATTGGTTGAAACCCATCCAACAGTATATACATCTTGGATAATATTTTGAAAAACAATAAAGCGTTTTTCGATGATTAAAATTTTTTTTTTTTATTCCCACCGACTGGATTCAGTAGAGGCTAACTCAGATTTTGCTTTTACAAGAAGTGGTGTGTTTCGGTGGTACCAAGACGTTTTGGATGGCCGGTAAGCGGTCGCTGATGAATGAGCAAATCCAAAGTCAAAACGAGGCCATTGCCTTTTTGACATCAAAGGCATTGTCCACCATGAATTTGTTCCTCCGGGATAGATCGTAAACGCCAAGATTTACGGAGAGTGATCAAAAGACTCAAACGAAGGATCAATCGAGTCCGACAAGACATCGCAACCGATTGAAAGTTGCACCACGAAAACGCATCGGCTCACACCGCCTTCCTTGTGAACAGCTACCTAACCAAGGCCGGCATACCAATGAGTCCGCAGCTGCTCTATAGCCCAGATGTGGATATGTATATTATAGTATGTAGTATATATGGTATGTATAGTATATCGTTTGTAATTTTTGCAACCTTTGCGTTTTTAGTAAAGATAACATAAAATTGCTTTGAGTTTATGTTAAGATCTCTTTATTTATGTGCAAAAAACATTCTTAATTGAGTTTGAAATAATAATCAGTTATTTCTACAGCAAAGCGATTACTTACGTAATTGTGTGTTTCTATGAGGGGCATATTTTCTAAAGAAAATATACGGATGTTCTCATACGAAACAAAAAAATGCTTATTAGAATGTTGGCATAACACTTCAGTGAGTAATTGACTTAAAGTCAAGTATTTCAACGACGTTTCACCAATATACTTGAAGAAACTATCAGAAGCGCGTTATCGGGTCATACTAACGCGGCTATTTCTGTTAAGACTCAAGCGATTCACAATGCTACGAAAAGAATTTGCATTATATATACATATATAATATATACATACATTCAATAACAATAACATTTAGTACAAATAATGGCCTTTGTATGCCTAAAGCCTTTAGATACCTCAATACCTATGTATGTCTAACTTTATACTGAAACTATGTATAATTGACGCGTAAGTAATCGTAATGAAATTAAAAACGTTTATTTGATCATCATAATATGGCATGGGTCTGGTTGTGAACGAGGACAATACGAAATTTCTCCTATCATCAAACAAATAGTCGTCGCACTAGCGATTTGGCTCTAACGACTTGGCTCTCACGTTAGTGTTGGCAATCATAACTTCGTAGATAATTTCGTCCATTTTGAAACCAGCATTAACACCAACAGCAACGTCAGCCTCTAAATCCAACGTAGAATAGCTCTTGTCAACAGGTGGAAAGACCAGATGACTACACTCGGAATCTATAAACTCGGCTATAACAGCGTAGGCGGTGTCTTCGCCAATAAAGAAGAAGATTACGGCCTGGTCGGTAAGTTCCAGACTCTTTCAAGTATACCGTATTTACAAATGATTAGCATGACGAGCTGAAATTTCATACCCGCATATATACGAATAAGTATTCGGTGCTTTGGAACCGCCGACATCGAACCACTTTAGCATATTCTGGCTCTATATACTGACTGAATCAAGTTCTTGAATGGTCAACTCTTTTATTTAACGAGATATCTTTGATATGAATTATTATCCCAGGCAACAATATATAGTCTGAAGAAACGTAGAAGCTTAATTGAAACTTTTGTATTTGTGAGAGCAACAGAAGTTAACGTTTTTTCTTGGCCTTGTTATGGTATTATATTATATTAACTAATCAAGCAATAAGCCCGCCAGCAAAGCGATTTTTTCACCAAGTTCTCATGCTTTTCCCACGGCCTATATACAAACATAAATGTTTTTTCCTTTTACATTTGAAATACCGTATATACACAAAGATGTACATACGTATACAAAGTATGTGCATAAATATTAGGATCTGCCGGCTTCAATTTATTTTTAGTTCGCAGAGCGAACATAGGCTAGCGAATAAAAATGTTGGTATCATAGCATGTGCACGAGTTCGTATCTATTTACATATGTATATGTACGTGTGTATTCAAGAATGGCAGGAGCAAAAATATAGCAACATTAGTGGTTATGATCATTTAATTGCGCAGTGAATCAAAATAAATTTTACAATTCCTGTTTAATAAAAAGCTCGATTTTCTTTCACGTTTACTATCACAATTGGGAAGCGAACAAGCTTATTGATTCTAAGGGAAGGAAATAAATCTCTTAAAATATACACAGCTTTTTACCAACAAAGTTTTGTAAATTTTAGCCACTAGATCCATCTGTTTACAAGTATAACAATTGTTGTATCAAATAAATCAAAACATCTTCTACTCCCGTGAGAGATTGCTTAAGAGCAATGAGTAAAAAGTCTTATCAAGTTGAACTACTCTTTCATTTTTAACATAAAATTTTGCTTATGAACACTGCAAAAATTTTCTACATTACTGTATATGTACATGAAGCTCGTATATGTGCATATGAATGTGTATCACTGCACTTAAGAGGTGCTTCATGTTCCGACTAGCTTATGATATTGAAATCATTTTGAACTTGTGGTTATTCCCTGTATTTTTGTTGTAGAAAAATTGATTTTCATAGAAAGATTTAGCGCTGAACAACCAAACAAGCCACAAGTCAACACACACACCAGTCGCAAACCAAGCAACAATGCATTAAACCACCAATGACCTTCGGAGAAGTGTTTGCATCTCAGACTATTGCCGCCCAGCAACTGCTGCAACTTTCATTGCTATTGAGGGTCACCATAAATTTACAATTTATTTAATTTTTTTATTAATACACTTTTTATTCTGCCTTGTTCCTCTTCCGTATGTTATGTTTTGCACATTTTCGCCGCGCGTTCACGTGCTAACTCGGCTACGGTGGTTGCTGGGAGCAGACAACCACACAGACACGCACCTTACACGTTGCTTTTCAGCCAACTAAAATACACATTTTATAAAATAAACTCACTTTGTTTGGAATTCGTTTTACTTGGCACCTTTCTAAGCAATTATTTTTTGTAATAATAATTAATTTGTGCTTATAAATTATTATTTTGTGCAATTATGTGTATTTTCAATCGAACGAACACTGAAGCGCCGAAAACGAAGCACACGTTTCTGCTGCCGACATTACTCTGATGCTCTCCGTAGTTTGGTTTGCCGTTTCCACTGTTATCGACATTCTACAACAGAAGCCGCCGCAGCCAAAGCACATAATTTTACATATCCCTCCCATTAACATTAGCTGGGTAAAGTTAGCAGCAGAGAATTTAACAGTCGAAATAAGTGGATTTAAGAATGTTAAACCTTTTCAATATTGTTGATTTTGCAGATATGTTTGTTGTTTTATATTGCATGTAATATATATACATTCATATGAACACAATATATTGTAAAAATGTAAATTATAGTTATTATTAAAAAATAATAATATTTATTGGTTCTAACAGTAGAAAACACAGCACAAATTCCATGTATACAGGCATGTTAACTTCTTCAATGTCCACTGTAATTCTAAAGAGAGTAAGTTTGCGTAGAAAAATTAAGAATGTTAGCTAACATAGAGCCTTAACATAACTTCCCAAATACATAATTAACAACTTTAATGCCAAGAACATCCAGTAAGCATAATGATGCCTTTGAAAATTGTCTTTAGCACAAAATTCAAGTCGTAAAAAAACAGCACAAACACATTTTGACAAAAGCTCAATGGAACTTTGTGGAACTATCGTAAAACTGACGAACGAGAGACGACGAAAGATTCAATAAGCATCAGCTTAAGAATACTATGTTAACTTACAACAAGTTTACAAGAGCGCTTTAAAAATGCAGCCGAGTCTAAAATTTGCAGCAATCATTTAGCAGCGATATTTCCTATCGAACCATACAAAATCAGCTGAACGAAGTGGGAATGTAAAGTGACCTGTAAAAAGCAACTCTTGACCAGAAAAATTAAATAATAGCGGTTAATTTGGGCTAAAAAAACTTAATTTGAAACCGCAATTGCAAACCAAGTGCAATTTGTGATGTTTTCTGACAAGTCGAAAATTAACTTTATTGGTCGTGATGGGTATCAAACTGTTCATCGCTGACGTGGTGAACGAATCGCAGAAAATTGCATTATTCTTAATAGTCGGAGAAATCCGTTGAAGGTCAGATCCGAAGAATACGTTATATTTTGCTCGTCATTCTTATTCGGTATCGGCGAAAATTTGTATTGGGTAATAACGAGCTAACATTTGTACATACGAAACTTCGCTGGGGTATACATAGAATCATAAACGGTATGAGTGACATTGAAAACCTAGCCATTACGGTTAACATATGGTTAACATTACGAAGAATAATGTTAATGTTAATAACAGAACCGGCTTTTTGACAATTATTTGGGAAACATTTGCATTACAGAAGCATTGTTTTTGTCTTTTTAGTGCCGCTGATACGACGTACTTAAGTATATTATATGCTTTAAAGGAATACTATATATGCAAGCAATATTTGAGCCATATTTGGATGAAGCTGGAAGTTAAATTTTGTCATATTTGAGATTCATAATAAATACGAAGTATTACCTTGTATGCTAATATTCTTCCTTATATGTATACAAAATGGATGATTCATGCTTTTGTGATGTACCGTAATTCAGGATCTAAAAACCATAATCCAACTATGACCTTGAATGTAAAGTAAACACGTCAAGTGAACCAAACCATTTCCCATAAATAAGATAATGTTCTTGAATCAATAGTACTTTACCGCAAAAATAATTGAATTTATCGTTAGACAAAAGATTATAAAATATGTACTTTATTTCTTTTGTTTTTGTGTGATTTCATATATTAACATATACTTAGACATTAATCAGGTTTGGACTTAGCGTTAGCTATAAACGCTGGTATTTCGTGATTCCCAAAACTTCCAAATGTGAACAAATTTGATAAAAGTGACGGTTTAATATCAGTCTAGCAAAAGTTTGACTGCTGCCTTCATCCATTTAGCTTTGGCAACTTTCATTCTGTAAGATATATACATATGTAGACACCCGTATTTGAGTCCATTGGGCAGTGTTGAAAGGACCTCTTTCGTTTCTTTCTGGGCCAAAACAGAATTGTTTGCTGATGAGCCACTGTTATATACTAACATTAATGGATCCGGCTAAGCTGTTCGTAAATTTTATTTACGAATAAAGGCGAAAACTTTTTTGTCGGTATAGGAACTCAAAAGATTGTAGTTGAGTTTAATTTTAAATATGTTCATACAAAGAAATTATTTTGGAAAAAAAAACAAATTTAAGGCTGCTTTCTCAATGTTCAGTTAATAGAGTTGTCCGCTTAATAGAGCTTTCACTGTATTTTTTATTTAACAAACAACGTGACACGTGATTTGTATATATAAAGATGACCAACATTATTCGAAAACGGCTAAGCCTATTTTTTAGTACCTAATCGAAATTTTTTTCTCACCGATAAATCTTTTTTTACAAATTTAGTGCCTAGAAACGAGTTAAGTTTTGAATGAAGTTCGTACGATCCCCTAGACCATCCTATCGGATTTTGATAACATAAATGAAATATTGGAGAAATTGTCGTAGAAAAAAAGTTGTATATTTTCAGACATAGAAAAGGCTCAAAAACTATTTTTTTTTTTAATGAGCATAAGTAAGTTAGGTTAAGAGGCACATCTAGTGTGACTGTCTAAGAAAAGTAATTTGGGAATTAAGAATAATGTAACAATTTATTTAAAGTTTCAAGGGTATATTTATATACATTTCAGAAATATAAAGTAAACGGTTTGGTGACGGTATTAAAAAAAGTTTCTTCACTACTGAGTTGACTCCGACCTTCTCCATGGTTGGAATCTAAAAATAAAATTTCTCCTAGTAATCAAAAAAATTTGAAAAATTTAATAATACACTGGGCGGTTATATAAATCTGTTTGAGAGTTAGATTTCAATTTTCAGCATGTTCTTTTTAAAGATATAACCTATCTTAAAATGAAAACTCGACTCTGTTTTTAGGTGTGTTTTCTTTTTTTTTAATGAAGATGCCATTTTATTGTAAACGTTATGGTCTTCTCTTTCTATATTTTTGGCAAAGCTCGATTACCATTACGATAAAACTGTTCATCTTCTGATGGTGTCCAAGAATCAAGTCATTGATTATGTCGTCTTGTGAGTGGAACTGCTTCTGAGCTAGACCATGTGCCATACAACAGAGCAAGTAATAACTGGTAAACAAAAATCCACTTGTTTTTTATGACCTAAACAGAACGAAGTGTTTATTATATAAAAATTTCCTCAAATGCAGGAAATAGCCACCGATTTCTTCTTTCACCTATAGTTTTTTTGCTATAAGGATTTTTGTTAAAAATACATTTTTTTTTATCTTTCATTAATTCTCTTATTTGCGGACCCACAAATATGCCTTACTTAATTTTTGCTCACTGATTGTTGGAAATTTTCTTTCAGATACAAGAACACTCTCTCATTTCTGTGCATTGCCTTTAAATTTTATTAAACACAAAATTTTATTAAACATAAAATTTATTACACCCAATTTAATATGCAAAGATGGTAGTAATGCCGGAGTGAGTGCCTGACGTACTGATCACTGCTTCTGAACATAATAACAGTCTCTCGTACGGCTATCCCATTCGCAAAGGAAGCGACAATATTTCATAAATCCTAGTTGCATTCCAAGAAGAAGAGCTACTACTTTTAGGTCTTCACATGTTGTCCAACCATACTCATGATAACGGCTGTGCTCTAAAAGAACTCTCATATAATTACTTCATATGAACCGCATGAGCTACGGACTTAGATGGATATTTGTTACTGTCATGAACCAATACCGCCTTTAAACTAAGTTTATAGGAATCAATTAATACACGCCAATCACGTGAATAATGTTATTGTCCTCGTGCGTTAAACAAAAGCTTAACATCGGAACACCGTGAAGAAAGCAATTTGTGAGGTCTGCCTTTTTCTGTAAAAAGTAATATTTTGATCAGGTTTTAGTTTTAGAGAAGGTTCTGGATGCTAAAAGTTCAGACTGCGATTTTGAAAGGCTTAGAGCTCGAACTAAGTTACTAAGTTCACCCTATGAAATGCGGCACTGTTAAACATCCAGATAAATCAAATGAAGGATGTGTTGTCATTTCCTTTGCGTTTTCTGTACCATCACTTGAAGTGCTAGTCGATTCTAGTTCTTCATCGAGACTCCGAGACTCTAGTGCTTTTGGAATAGGAAGTTGTTCACTGTGTTTGACAGACCTTAAAGCTGATGGTAAATTACAGTACTTAACCGTATGTTTAGACTTCGGTCCAATACCTTTAATATTCGTGAGGCCAAAATAGCAATCTGTAACATAGTCTTTAGGTTCTATCCACAACCATTGACACCGCGAAGAACATTTTACGATTTGAATCTTTTAATCAGGCTGTTAACAATGTTACACAAGTTTTGCAACAGATATGAGGGGCCCATGCTTTGTCTTGGCCTCCAACTTTAACACCAAAATACAGTACGTAAGCTTTTAGCACAAAGGGAGTAAAATTACGTTTTTGCGATTTAAAAGTTAGTTCTCCGCACACATAACAAAAACTGTTGGCACTATTTACCCACTGCCTAGGCACTGTACCGAAAAATATTAAACACAATAATTTTAAAACCGTAAAAGAATTTAAACACAAAAAAGTTTTGTTATCCAAACATAGAACACGTAACCGATTCGGATACCGTTAGTCTACTGATAAATTTTGTAAAATAAAATGATCGTAAAGTACGTTGTTTACTTCAAACAAGCAGCAGAACTGCTCTAAATCGGATAAATCACTGATCGTATGAAATATGAGATGATGCAATATAATGAAATTTTATGTACAAACGGCTTAACGAGATGCGCTCACTGTATTGTAAAATCTCAAGCCACAGCTTACAGAATATCTGTGGGTGATAAAAAAAATTCTGTTTTCAGATTTGACTTCGGGATATCAAACTGCATTAGAAGCACCTAAGAATTTTCATGTCAGTAATTATGTGTCTACCAGTGTAATCGGGCGGTACAATATCTGGAATATAGCGGGAGAAGTACGACTTAAGGCGTTTCCAGGTAGGTTTTAATG